GCCTGCTTTTCTCTGGCAATCAGGACTATGATGCCCTGGGGGCCCTATTCATTCTGTCTTTGCTAGTGGCTACTTGAGATTTAGGGCAAATGCCCCACCTCCTTGAGCCTCTTTTGGCCCCCTCTCCCAGCTCTGGTTTTCCAAGCCTAGGCCTGGGCTTGGCTCCCTCTACTGCTCAGGGCACTCCCCCCCCCCCCCCAGGCCTCACTCAATAGACAGGCAACTGCCCTTTGAACAGCGGGTTTCCACCATAATCCTGACTCTTTTTCCCCCACTACTCAAGCAAGTGACTTCAAGAGCAAACTCTCTGTGAGTGGTAGATAAGAAGAACCACAGATCTAAGAGAAAATTGATTTTTGCATAGGCATAAATTAGAATCTGTTGATTACAAAATAAAACTAGAGAATTAAATAGTAGTCTTTGTGATGAGGAAGAGCTAAGTCCCTATCTGTAGGTTCCTATGTGGGTCTGCTCAGGTGCCAGCTTTCTGGGGAGGGGACAAAAGCAGAGGAAGCAGACTCGGCCTGAGGGACAACTGGGGTCAGCCCTGCACCTACTGCTGCTGGCCCCTGAAACCTGCAGAAGAGTAGGCCCCTCTGCTGGCTTTGGGAACAAGTGGCCAGCCCTGTGGTGTGAACTTCTGCCTTCCCTAGTGATGGCAAGAGGCAGAAAGGACTGTGATGCCACTGTAGGTATTAGTGCTTGATAGGTAACCCCTCCCCAAGCTGGGGCCCACAAGGAGGCAGCCAGTAATGAAGCCCTTAGCTGTTCTTTCTGATAAAAAAGAACCATGAAATAGATCTACATACAAATAGAAACATCTCTATCTATATACATAATAAGATCGGGCCCCCAGAGCCAAAAAATTTACCCTCCCTCTCCCATCCCAGCCTTAATTCTAACAAGCCCCCCTCCAACCCTATCCCAAGCAAATTAACACCTGCGCATGAGGTAACCTGGCCTGAAATCAACTAGAATCTGAGCTCAGAGTAAGAGTCTGATGAGCCTCCAATGCCCTGTTTCCCTGCAGAGGCAACTGGGGCATGTCTGGCCCACCCCAGACATCCAGAGATAGAGGGCAGCTTTGGTTCAATGACAATCCTACAAGGGGCCAGAGAAGGGCCCTTCTTCTCAGGCTCCCGGCCAGTCTCCTGCCCACCATAGCCACAACCACATGAGCTGATTGTCCCAAAGGACAATACTGCACTTCTCTATGCTGCCTCTGCACAGAACACAGCCATAGCAGCAAGGTTGCTTGGACATAAAAAGGATATTGAAGCAAAAAACAAGGTAGAAGCCCATCTCTTGCATAATAAAGTACTTTATGAGCTAAAATGTGTGATCATGTAGTGTCCAATTCACATATTTTATAATCGATACATTCATGGAAGCATTTCTTTAATGAAAATAACTTAAAATAATTCTGTAGTCCAAATTCATTGGTCTTTGGAATTTTCTGAAGTTGGGAGGAGAGACAAGCGAGCAGATTTCATTCACACTGTACCTCCTAATGAGGAACATCCCTCTATTGGTTTACACCAGGACCTACTCTATGATTCTTAACCTGGGATCCATTAACTTTAAACAAACAACAATAACTTTGTAGTTATATCAATGTAATTGGCATCCTTTGTATTCTATATATTTTAGGCATTTGAAAAGATTGTTTTGGAAAGGGTCCATGACCCAAAAGAAGCTAAGCAACCCTGACTAACAGAGTGTCTTGGGGTACTGAAATATGAAGTGACTTCCCAGGGTCGCCCAGCCAGCATATGTGGGCCTGTGTCAGGCCTGGAATTTAGCTCTTACTGACTTTGAGGTTAGCTCTCTATCCATACCATGGCGGCTGTCTCTCTAGAATTTTCTTTGCATGATATATTATGTCTGCTCTCCAGAATGCAATGATTCCATCAATTATTTGCCTACATTGCTTTTCTCCATACAGAGCTTTCCTTAAGAGAGCACAATGTCAATTTGTCATGTAGAAATGGCATATGTTTTTATATTAAATATAAAACTTCACAGATGCAGAATTTTCGCAAGAACAAATTTTTAAGTGTATGTGGGCCTTTTTTTCTATTCCCTAAAGACTATACCATTTCCTTTGTAAAGTTACTGAATAACTCCTGATTTTTAAGAAAAAGATTAACTCTTTCTCACTGCCACTTGAGAGAGAAAAAGACATAAAGTACACACTAGGAGGGCTGAGAAGAGAGGGAAAATTCCTGGAGAAAGACTTTCTTCTAGGTTTAAGCCCCTTTAGGCAAGATTTTCTTGAGTTTCAAGGTTGGTTGTACACATTCAAGGGGAATGGATAAAGAGAACTAGGCAGCTTTAAAACTGACCAGGATATAGCTTTAGCTTAGCAGAGTTCTGAGGAAATAAAGTTGGCTTTATGGAGACAATAATTGATCACAACATGAAGATAGCAAGAAAGGAAGATACTCCTTAAGTAGTAGGAAACAGTCTCTTACAAAGCCTGGGTTTCTAATATCCTGATCACAATGTAATATCTAGTAGCTGGAAGGAATCCCAGAAGCTATCTAGTTTCGTTCTGTTATTTTAATTATGAGGAGACTAAGGCCCAGAGAAGTGAAATAATTTGCTTATGATCACACAGGAATTAACTAACAGAAGCAGGATTTATGCCCTTGTCTTCTCACTTCAAAGTTCCATTGTACCATACTTCCTTTACATGTTATTAGCAAGTTCAGTGGATGTTCACAAAATGCCTTAAGCTGAATTGAAGCATATGCAGAATTCTTGCATATTCTCACAATATCTTTAATATGATATTATGGGAAGGTTATATGCCACTTGTGCTTGCAATTATAGAAAAGAACCAAGAGATATTAGATTTTTTTTTCTTAAAGAATGGAGCAAATGTGAATGCCTTAGATAGATTTAAAAGGTACTGTAATTAAAGCTTGAAATAAAGAAAAAGAGAAAAGTTTCCAGAGGAATAGGAACAACTTAAATCATAGAACACTAAGTGAAGAGCAATAATTGAAATTGATCATCACTGTGAAAGGGTGAAAAATGTCCACAGACATCCAGTATGAAAAGAAAAACTATTATTTATTACTCTACAACAGAGAAAACAGTTCATGTGGGCACGCCATCCACCATTAATTGGTGGTTACTATTTGCAGTTTTCTTCATTTGATGTTTAGTTAGTTCAGATTGCTGCCACAGAACTTTTGTACCCTAGTGATTCAGAGTGATTTTCTTTATGAACTAATTTTCATGTCACCTATGAGAATCCTAGTGTATGTTTTCTGCTCCTTCTTCCTTTGATTATCTTTAAGAGGATGCACTTTGGGGAGCGTAAACAAGAGAAGGGAAGAGATGAGGTGAGGGCAGATGGTGGAGCAGTGATCTGTGGTGGCAGCGGTGACAGCAGCAGTAGGGCAGCAGCAGCAGCAGCAACCACGCAGCTGGAAGAGCCACAAAGGAAGTGACAAACGCAGCAGAGAGCTGGGCCAGGGCCTGGACCTGACTGCTCTGTCTCTCCCAGCCCAGCGGGGAGAGTGCAGGAGCTCAGGTCCCGACTCTCAGCCATGAACCTGGTCAGTCAGAGTGGGGAGGCTGCCTCCAGCCTGCTGCCCTTCCCAACTTCAACCAGGACAATACATCCTTAGCTGTTGGTAGTAAATCTGATTACAAATTCTTCTCCCTTTCTTCTGTAGATAAGCTGGAACAGATTATGAATGTACTGATACCGAAGATTGTGCATGTCTTGGAAAGGTTGTTTTCAAGTAGGCTGGTGGCTATTGTTGGCCTCAAAGCTCCACAGAAGCTAAAAGTCTGCCACTTTAAGAAGAGGACTGACATTTGCAATTAAAGCTATTCCAATACCATAGGCAGAGGGTGATAGTATGCTTAGAAGAATGTCTGTCTGTACAAACACAATATTCGTGTTATGAAAGTACTGCGTATAATCAGGGAAACTCCCCCTAACCCTGCAGGTTTGTGTAACCTGTCAATAAATGATGATAATTGTTATCTGGCTTGTCCTAATAGTGCAGCTATTGGGGGAATAAAAGTCTTTGGCAGTATTAATTTGAGGGCTGCTCATATGATACCAGCTCATGAAAGGCCCCTAGCAGGCTTGGCTTTTGATGCAAGTGGTGCCAAACCTGCCCCTGCTTCTGAGAAGGGAAATGTGATTGGGCTATTTTCCATCCCAGAAGGACAGACAATCTTTGAGTTTCAGAGAGGAATAAAGAAGTGTGTAAGCATGTGCTCTTGGGCCTTCAGCATGGATGGAATGTTCCTCTCTGCATCCAGTAACACTGAAACAGTGTACATCTTCAAATTTGAGATTGTGAAAGAGGGGCCCACTACCTAGATTGGTTCCTTTGGGAAAGTGCTTATGGCCTCAACCAGCTATTTGCCCTCTCAAGTAACAGAAATGTTTAAGCAGAGCAGAGCATTTGCTACTGTCCGACTGGTTGCATGTAATCTCCCTCTATCTGTTCAGAAAAAATTCTGTAAGTTGGTAAAGACAAGGAGACAAAAGGTTTAGGTCTGGTAACCATCTAAATAAATAAAGAGGTAGAAAAATGGGGACTGCTCATATTTTTCTTTAAACAAATACTTTTGGTTCTATTCACTGGAACCTTGCTATAAAGTGATTCCTAGTGTGTGGGACAAGTGAAAGTTTCTCATGTGAAATGTAAGCTATGCTCCAAAATGTAGTGAGGCTTCAGCATGAGCTGGGCCTAAGTTTCACTTTCGATTTTGGGGAATGGGGGCTGTGCACCAGCTGCCCACCCCCTCCCTCCCTTGTTTTGTAACCACCCCCTCTTTTGTTTTGTACCTTGACTTTACCAAATAAGGCAATCCTCTAGCTCCCAAGCTAGTTTTGAGTAAAATGTATCTCTTGGGTTCTAAATATAGATTGTAAGGTCTCTTGCCTCAGCCAATGAGGATAAACAAATTGAGACAAACAAGTGGGGAGGGGGGCTTTTTGGAGTGATTTGTCTAAGAGTATATAACTGTTTGCTGCTGTTTGTGCCGGGCCTCTCTACACCAGTCTGCCCTGGTTAGGAGACATCCAACTCTCTGTCTTCTGCCTGGAGATACCTCTGAGTTTTTACTTGGGTAAGTGGTCTCTATTCCACTCACTAGGAGCAATGTGGAGTCAGGTATATCTTGGAGTTGAAGTAGTAGAAATGCTAGCAGAATGTTCTTACCTTTGTCATAGTCCTTGTGGTATGGCCCCTGGGAACACTTTTGTAGAAAGAATCCACTGTCCATAGCCCACGTTATTTAGCAGCCTTAAGTTTTCTCTTTTAGCTCTCTGCACCACCAGGATGGGGCACTGAATTTCATTTCTAAGCTTTGCAGTTCAGAGTAAGAAGTGCTCCCGTCTCAGTTTAGAACCTAGCTTAGTTTTTTGATTGATGAAGAAGGAACTGCATTTTCCTTTCATTTGTAGTGAAAGGTCATTGACATTATTTTGGGAGCAGTGTATATTTATTTATTTAGATAGATGTGAAGGGCTGAATTTGCTTTTGTAATAAGGCAGGTGGTTACCAGGGGTAGAAGATATACATTTGTATCCTTTTTAGATCTTAGTAATGCCAAAAGTGTTTCTGGAAGGTGTGAGTGGCAGAGAAGGGAAGTTTAAAATAAGAAGCAGCTAACTTTATTAGAAGAAAATGAAATAATCTTTGACTTTAAAAATCAAGTTTAAGTGTACTTCAGGAATGGAGGTAAGCATCTCTCCTTGAGAGCCTAATTTATTGGTAAACTTCTGTCTATGCTCTTTAGCCAACCTTTTGGCTGTTTCACTGCCCATTTGCACCTCTTCCATTTGGGGATGGAAAAAAAGGAGAGGAAACAAAATGTAATCTAATTTAATATCTATTATTAGGTAGGGATCAATAATCCCTTTAGCATATGGTATGGATTCTTAGAGTGCCTCTACCAAGTGCCACAGGTTACCTACCTCCTTCTCTATTAAACACTGATATAGCAGAAATGAATAGGACTAAAAATTAGAATATACCTTGGCTCAGTTTTGTTAAGTATTTTCCAGTTTCATTTTAATCTGGTTTGGGGTCCATTCAAGAGTGTTGCTGCCATGCATCTGACACCTGGTGTCAGTGTTTTACTTTTACTCAAGAAGACCTGAGTTCAGATCCTGCCTCAAGCACTTACTAAAGATGAGGCTTAGTTTCCTAAAAATAAGGAGTGATAGGATCATAGATTAGAGCTGGAGAGGAGACTTTAAAAGCGATGGACGTGACCACTAAGGTCCTTTCCAGTTCTAAATCTATGCTATGTATGAACAAAACTTACCTTTTTTCCCTTAGTATGTTCCTCTTATAATTTTTAAATTTCTTTCAATTATATCATTCATTCAATCTCCCCACCACTTCCAGGAAGTCTTCCTTAATATCTATCCTCAGTAATGAAACATTTCCTCCCCTCAGGTTTTACCTAGTGTAGATGTTTTGGTGTAGTTTTAAGGTACATTAAGACTTTGGGAATGCTTCTGTACTTTGTACCTCTCATATAAAATATTATTGAAATACGTGATAAATATTTGCTCCTTATTAGACTGTAAGTCCTGTGAGATTAGAAATTATGCCTTATTTAAATTGTAACTCGCTAAGCACCTAGTTATTGTTGGAATTTTAACCTAAATTTAAGGTTACCAAATACTTGTTGGTTAATTGTTTGAATCTGAGAGGTGCTCTCTAGTACCAAGCCACAGGGCTATGTTTTTGACCACCTTTTTTTTTAAATTAGTGACTTGTCTTATCAAATGTAGATAAAACAAAAGTGGGAGGAACAGCAGATATGATTAGCAGCAAGACTCAAAGATATCTGGACAGGCTAAAACTCTGGGCTAAAATCAAGATTATATTTGTCCCTAATTAAATCTCAAGTCCTGAATTTCAATTGGAAAAAAAAACCATTGTACCAGGCTTGCGGAAGATACTTACCTTGGCAGCATCTCACATGGGCTCTTAGTGACATCACCAAGCCTGGTGGACAAGGGTATAATTTGGAACATAGCAAGCCAAGTTCCTCTCTCCTCTCTACCCTACCCTCTTAAATAATGCTTCTTCCATGTACTCCCTTCCCTTTAATTAAATTCCTCATGGCATGGGACAGTTTGTAGTTATAAATTGAAAAGTTTTATAGGAAATAGGACAAGCTGAAGAGGGGACAACTGACCTATAGTGAGGGTGGGGGCTAAGCAGGCACCTGTGGCCCTGCTCCAGAAAGTCCCCTGGGTGCTGCCGCCTTTGGCACTGACTGACCACCCAGTCAATCAACGGGCAGTTGTTAAACATCTGCTATGTGCAAGGCACCTTACTAAGCACTAGAAATGCAAAGAAAAGCAAAAGACAATTCTTGTTCACAAAGAGTCAAAGCAGGAGATAACATGATAACAACTATATTACAAATAAGATATATACAAAGAAGGTAAATTGGAATAATCAATAGAGGGAAGGCATTATAATTGAGGGAGATTGGGAAAGGCTTCTTGTAGAAGGTAGGAGTTTTAGCTGAAACTTGAAGAACGTCAGGAGACAGAGATGGGGATGAGGAAGGAGAAAGCCAGGCATGGGGCACAACCAGTGAAATGTCCAGTCGGGATGTCTTATACTGGTTCTCACCCAGTACATACAAAGCACTGTCCCAGGCCTCAAGAGAAAGAGTATTTGGGTAACATCTTTGTCTTTTGCTAGCCTTCTCCAAGGAAGGAGATGTATGTTGTGTGGGTCCAGAAGCATCAGGTTCTGTTTGTGGCAAATAGACAAGAAGATGATAGGAACTTGGAGGGATCTTAGACTATCTAGCATAATGCTTTCATTTTATAAGAACAACAGCAGCTAACATTTTGTAAAAAAACAAAACAAACAAAACAAAACACTGCTGTACACTGCTGTATGTTAACTCATTTGATCTCAAATACTGGAATTCAAATACAGCCTTGGACATTTACTAGCATTGTGGGACCCTGGGTAAATCACTAAACCACTGTCTGCCTCAGTTTCCTCAACTGTAAAATGGGATAATAGTAGAACCTATCTCCCAGGGTTGTGAGGATCAAATGAGATAATATTTGTAATGCCCAGTGTATAGTAGGTGCTTAACAAATCAAGCCTGTTCCCTTTTCTTCCCCTGTAGAAGTAGCTAAGTATCATTGTTCCTATTTTACTGATAGAGAAGAAGATGTAAAGGACCACTTGCCCAAAGTCACAATAGTTAATCACAGAGCCCAAATTCAACCTAGCTCTTCTGCCTCCAGATTCCTGTACTTCAGTGGTAATTTTAAAAAAATTTTCTTTTGAGGGGTGGTTAATGATTTCCCTCCCTCACCCAGCTCCTCCCTTAGGTCTGCCCCTTGGGCTGCTTGTTCCCTAGTTAGATCCACTCTCTTATGGGTGTGCCCTGTCTCTTTTATATTTTAGAGTGAGAGGTCCCCTAGGGCAGGGACGTTCTTTTGTAGTTCCTCTGGCTTCTCCTCTCAGCCCTGCCTCACCCTTGGCCCGGATTTCCCTGGGCTGGAGCCTCCGTCTAGAGTGATCCAGAGAGAGACTGGTGTCTCAGAGCTAGCTCTGAAAGGAAGTGCAAGGACTCTATTAATCTCCCACTGAATAAGTCAAAATAAGAATTCCCCAGCTCTGAGGCTAGGGGCCTAAAACTTTATGACCTCATTATAAAGGAGTCCTTTCCTTTGTTTCCTACTGGGTCCTACCCAGGTTATCCCTACCCCCAGGCCCACTTTTTCTTCATTGTGCTAATTTCCTTACCTGATCTTAACTACATTCTCCAGTGACTCCCTCTACTTCTCTCTGTCTCTTCCTCTCCCTCCCTTCCTCTGTCTCTTTCTCCCCCTTCTATCTTCTCATGTCTCTCTCTCTTTCTCTGTTTCTCTCTCTTCCTCTCACTCTGTCTCTATCTGTCTCTGTGTGTCTCTGTTTCTCTCCTTTCCCTCTCCTTTCTCATCTCTCTCTCTCTCTCTCTCTCTCTCTCTCTCTCTCTCTCTCTCTCTCTCTGTCTCTCTCTCTCTCTCTCTGTCTCTCTGTCTCTGCCTGGCTGTTCAGGTGTCTTTAGAAGGATCACTAGAGAGGGAAGGGGGTGGACTGGTATATTTTTTGTTCTTGCTGGTTTTGGGTCCAGGGCTCAAGAGGTCCTGAATGTCAATAGGGTTTTAGTGAGCCAGCAGCAACAGGTCCCAGAATTATGGAGGATATTGATAAAAGGGGCAGAAGTCTTTCATGTCTATGTCTGACTAACCGGCCTTTGTAAATGAGTATTATATGAAGGGGACAGGCCTTTTCTGAAACTGTATGATGGAAATTTTGGGAAGAGGAGAGTGATGAGCATAGGAGAGCCAAGAAAAAGGTTCGATCCATTCAGAGTAAGTCTCAGTGACCTTCTAAAGATAAGGAGGTAGTGAAAAGTGGGAGACCAGATTTGGAGTCAGAGGACCTGGGTTCAATTCCTGTTTCTGCAACCTCACTACCTGTTATTTTGGGCAACATCTTTAGCCTTCCTATGCCTCAGTCTTCTTATCTGTAAAATGAGGGAATTGGCCTATTTCTTCTAAGGGACTTTCCATTTTAGACCTCTGATACTATGACTTTTCTAATACATTGTGATATGGCCATATTGTGTTCTCATGGCCATGAGAACCCAGGTCAGGAGAGTTCCATGGAATTGTTTCTCCGCTCATCTCTTAAGTCCTATAAAAACTCACTTGTCTGGGTCCTCAGAGCTGTTCTGGCATTTTCAGCTTTGTTTCTGGGTATGTCTCTTCTGCTCACACGAGCATATGTCTGGATCTTCTTTCCCTGGATACTTTCCAGACCCTTTGTACCAAAGGTGGCAGGCTTCTAGCCCACAACTAGGAAGTCTTGGAAGTTTGATGGCTGCAAAAGGCCGTACAGCTATTGTCTTTTCTCCTGTCCTGGTGAGGTATGCTGAGCTGGAAGAAAAGTTATCATAGACTTAGAGATAGAAGAGATGGCAGAGGTCTTGTTGAAGTATATCATTATAAAGGTGAAGAAATTGAAACCCAGAGAGTCTGGTCAAAGTTCCCAGAGGCACTGAGAGGTTAAGTGGTTTTCCCTTGG